GGGGGTAGTTGTCTCGGATCCTAGCCTTCAGCCCAAGGCCAAATGTCTGCACTGCTACTGTGTGGAGCCCGGGGCCCTGAGTCAGCCGACCTGCTGTGTGGACATACCCGAAGGGACGCCCCGGTCCAGCGGTGGCTCAGTCCAGTCCCAACAGACTCTTCCATCTAGAACAGGCCCCAGAGCCAACAGCCAGCGCACGACCACCCCTCCACCCCCCCGCCCCGGGCGCTCGGTGACCGAGCCGCCTGGACTGGGGCTCTCTGGAGTCACCCCTGTGGTGCGTGGTCATTTCCCCCAGCCAGATGCCTCCAGGCAGCCACCCATCAGCACCCGCCAGAGACATCTGGAGGGCTCCCCAGGCTCGATCTGTAGAAGCTCAGAGATCAAAGGGTTTTGTGGAGAGGCAGCTCCTTCCCCTGGCTTGGTGGGGGCGGGGGGGGGGTCGCTGCAGGAGAAACCCAGGGGATTAAAACAACAAGGAGTCCAGTGGCACCTTAAAGATTAACAGATTTATTTGGGCATAAGATTTCATGGGTAAAAAACCTCACTTCTTTGTTGTTTTTGTGGATACAGACTGTGACGAAGTGGGACTGTTCTTAATGTTTCCTCTGAATACTGTGTGGGTGCCTCAGTTTCCCCTATGCATTTCTTAAGTCTCTAGGTGGTGGGATAAGGGTGTGCGATTGTTGCAGAGCCCTAGAGGGCAGGGGTGTGCAGGTGTCTGCACAGAGAATGGCTGACACCCTGTCTCCTGGCAACTGATGGCCTGGGCCCGTCCCCTGCAAAGGTGCCAACTGAAGGTGTTGGAGAACAAAGAGATCAGGTGACCTCCTGGCCCTGGAAAGAGACAAAGGCGAGAGGAGGGGCTGGAGAATTTCAGTTTGGGGCTGGCTGGGAAAATGGAGGGGAGGCCAGACAGAGCTCCTGGCCTCTCCTGGCCCCCCAAGATGGACCTGACTGAGGGGGTCCTGTGGTCTGTACCTGCAAGACCTGTCTTGGACTGTGTTCCTGTCGTCTAAATAAACCTTCTGCTTTACTGGCTGGCTGAGAGTCATGGTGAGTCTCAGGGAGCCGGGGGTGCAGGGCCTTGTGTCCCCCCACACTCCGTGACACTCAGAGATCAAAGGGTTTTGTGGAGAGGCAGCTACTTGCCCTGGGGCGGCGGAGCGGGGAGGGCGCTGGATTAAAGGCTCCACCCAGGTCATGTACAAGCAGCAGGGGCAGGGAGCCTCAGGGGCTGACAGCAAGAGTTGGGAGGATCTGTGGGTAGGGATGGAGCAGCCGCAGCTGCCACGTGGCCCCACAGCCAACCCAGTGCAGATAAAGGGAGGCGGGTGCTGCAGCCAGAGATTAGCTGCGGAATCCAGCCCAGGATCCTTCCAAACAATAGGCCCCTTGCACTGGGTTCCCAAGGACATTGTCTGTGGGTCAGTGGACGGGGCCCTCCTGAAGGGCGACTCCCCCAGGGCCTCACGTGCTGGATTCACGAGTGCCCCGCCGGCTGGAAGAACAACACAGCGTGCGCTCCGCCAGCGCCAGCCAATCACCAGGTGCAGCGCACACCCCACCCTGCCCAGTTGCTCCTGGCATGTGGGAATGGGACCCTGGGGCCTGTGGGGGGCTGGTTTACTCAGAGACAGAGTGGGCAGGAGAATCCTGCCCAGATTCCAGATGCTCCTGGACCCAGGAGCTCCTAGCCCTGGCCACACTTGGCACCCAAGGCCATAGGTCAGCAGTAGAAGCCTGGCCCGGGAGAGGCACACAGACAAGGAGACAGGGCTGGGGACTCACCAGGTCAAAGATTCTGGGCCGGGCCTGGTTGCCGATGTGCAGGAGATCCCGGAAGCCCTTGGTGATCAGCAGGGCGATCCGCTCCCCCTTGCGCTCCAGCAGGGCGTTGGTGGCCACCGTGGTCCCCATGCGGATCCACTCTATCCGCGATGCGTCCAGAGGGTGGTCGCGGGGAAAGGGAGTGCCGCATTCCTGGGGGAAGCTCCTGTCACTGGAGGGCAGTCTCCTCCCACAGCCAGTAACACCCTCCATGGAGCTCAGATCATCTCATGCCCATGAGCCCAGGAGAGGAGAGTGCTGATGGGGAAACTGAGGCGCAGAGGGGCAGAAACTGGTCCAAGGCGATCCAGCAACCCAGTGGAAGAGCTAGAAACACCCCTGGCTTCCCAGACCAGGGCCCTAACCTGTGGGGCCCTTCACAAGCCATGACCCGGCACGACCCAGGTCTCCCCCTTCTCCCTCAGGCAGACCCAGGTCAGGCAGCACTCCCTTGGGCTGGGCCCTCACTGTGACAGATCTGTCAAGAGAGCACCCCCCTCAGGCTGTCACACACCGCGCCTCCTTCCTGCACCAAACCCAGCTGGGCCAGGGAGATACGGCCACCAGATGGGCCAGGGTCACGCGGATACCTGCCGAGGCCACTGGCAGCAGGGCCAGAGCCACAGGCAGGATGCGGCTACCTGGATGCTGCTGTGATCCTGGCAGCAGGACGTGCGAGAGACAGACGGGGCGAGAGGCTGCCCGGTCTGCTCTGGGCTATTGGGGCCAATTTGGCTGCAGCCGGGCCAGGCTGCTGGTCCGATCTGCTGAGGTGCTCCGGGCTGACCTGGGCCTCAGGGGGAAAGCGAGCCAAAGGGACTGTGGGGACTGAACAGCCCCCCTGGGTGCTCCAGCACAGCATCTGTGCCCCACCGCACCCCTCGGCGCCTGGGCCAGCATACGCAGCTGCCAGCCAGGGCGCTGGGTGGGCACCTCGGCTCCAGCCACGGGCTTGCGCCGCTATCTCCGGGACCCTGGGGTCGGTGCCCGCTCCTGGCCAGGACCGACACGTCCTACCCCTGGCACTGCCAGCCTCCCCGTGCCCTGCCCCTCACCTCCTGCAGGATGCGGCGGATGCCCTCCGTGGGCGCATCGCGGTAGTTGGCCGGGTTCTCGGACAGCAGCTTCATCACCCGGACGCGCCCCCCGGGGCAGCGGGCGAAGATGTCGGTGAAGGTGCCACCGCGGTCGATGGCGAACTGGAACTTGCCGGGGCTTGGCACGGCCATGGCTGGGGAGCCCGGGGGGAGCAGGAGCCGCTGGGACCGCGCACGAGCCCTGGGGTGAGCGGTCTGGTCCTGCTCCCGGCCCCCGACTTAGCCCGGCCCCGCTCCGCTCCCCGCCCCGCCCGGCCCCGGAGAGCCGCTGCGCTGGGGCCCAGGGGTGCGCCCCTGTGGGGCTGGAGCCAGGAGGCGGGGCTGGAGGCTGGCCGGGGAGGAACCAGCGGCAGCGGCTGCGCTGCGCCCTCCGGCAGAGCCGGGAGCGCGCGGGGCTCCCGCTGGGGCTCGTCTGCGGGCTCGAGCCCACGCGAGCTTCTCCGCCCGGACTCGGGGACTCCCCCGCGCTGGTCCGCCCGCACGGGCTGCGCGAAGCTCCGCTGAGCCCGCCGGGGACACCACCGGCCCCTCCCCGGAGCGGGTTACCGGGAGCCAGGGCTGCTGCGGGAGCGGCCCGGCGGTGCAGTGCATGGAGGAGTCTCTCTGAGCCGTGGGGCCCCGGTGATCGGTGTTTGGGAGGGGGGATAGGGCGGGAGCAGAGGGGTTTGGAGGGACACTGAGGCAGTGGTTGGACATGGAGCACTGGTGATTGGGGTGGGGGTGTATGGGGGGTGATGAAGTGGGATTTTTTGATAATATTGAGGCTTGTATGTGCCTCAGTTTCCCCTGTATGCTGCAGTGTTACCTGGGGGTGGGAAGGGCTGTTTGCTCTCCAGGCAGGCTGTGACAAAGTGGGGGATTTTCTTGTGTTTTCAATGGTTTGCATGCAGAGGGGGTAGGACTCAGTGTCCCCAGGTGTTACTGGTTTAAGGAGGTGAGGGGAGAGGGAGTTCGTTGGGACACAGGACCGGAGAGGGAACTTGGGATCCCAGCCGATGGCCTGGAGGAGGGACACCCCAGTGACCGGTGACCTGGTGACCCGGAGGCCCAGCTGAGGAGACGCAGCCGGTTCTGGCCAGTGGGAGGACAATGGGCTGCAGAGTGAGGACCCAGTGACCTAACCAGCCGGTTCCAGCCAGAGGACGGAAAAGGGGAGAGGAGGCCCAGGCGACCCTGTGTGACGTTATTGATATAATCTGGGACCATATAGATCATTGTTGCAACCAAGGTCCTGTAGTGGCACCCAGA